AGGGTGACGGACTAGGACGAGTTCAGGAAGCGCCGGAAAGCTGATGAGACCGAATATGCTACGTTAAAGAAACTCTTTTCTCAATTTGCGGAGGATGAGCACCAAGACTGTCCAAACCGACTTATAGGTGGATACGATGGATTCGCGTCTTGCGCATTTATTGGAGGCTAAAAAATCGCTGGTTGAGAGATGGCGCACACAAAAGCTTAATAGGAGGCTCCGCAAACGCATAGCTCTCATTATTAAAGATATTGAAGAATATTGTCAGGAGCTTTCTAGGCAGCAACGGAACGAGGTTTGCTCAAAAGTAGATGGGCAGATGCGCACCGGAGGTAAATAGAACCTGTTGAAGGTACTATACTCGATCAGACAAACTCCAAAAGTAATCAGAGGTTGGCAATCGACCACTTAGTTCAAGCACAGCAGAGCAGTGGAGTCACTGACATCACTTTACTCAAGGATTTGGCTGAGCGATATCTTTCGCTTGGCCCCTCCGGGGACTGGGATTACCCGGTCTACCAGGGAAGGCGGCTCGAGGAAATCGACTCGCCCTTTACGAACCTTGAGATCGAAGAGGTGCTTCATGCGCTTAATAGCCGCTCAGCCCCTGTCCAGACGGCGTTACAAACAGATTGCTGCACAATCCCGACGGCTAGTCAATCGCTAAGTTAACCGAGGAGATCAATATCCTCTGGGCAGAAGGTCGCGTACCTGAGGCCTGGTGGACGGCCTCGGTAATACTCATTCCCAAGCCGGGCAAGGTACTTGCCATGGAGAACCTCCGTCCCATTTCCCTCACATCTTGGGTGGGGAAGGTGATGGAGCATGCGGTACACAACAGAGTATCTCGGTATATTGAGGATAAAGAGCTCTTTCCGTACAACATGGTAGGTTTCGGCTGGGTCTCTCTACCCAGGATGTGATGCTGCTGATTAAGAGGCAAATTATCGATCGACACACCCGTGATGTTCGAGGAATATTGGTCCTTGATCTCGCCAAGGCCTTCGACACGATTTTACATCAGTTTATACTGGATCAGGTAGATCGCATGGGATTAGATCCCAAGTTCTACGCCTATGTTCGCGCCTTCCTCAGGGACTGCAAAGCCACCATGAAGATTCATGGTGCAAAACCACCATGAATTAAAATCGGAGGCCTTGACCTTGGTGTGACGGGCACGCCGCAGGGAGCGGTAATTTCACCTCTTTTGTTCAACATAGTCATAAAAGGCCTCTCGGAGCCCCTCTCCACTGTAGCGAATACCTACCATGCCTTATATGCTGACGACATTACAGTCTGGTGCATAGGCGGTTCGGATGCTGAAGTGGAGCAGGCGCTCCAATCTACTTTGTGAATAACAGAACGCTTTCTGCAGGGTACAGGGCTCCAGCTATCCGCCTCTAAATCAGAGTTGATTCTATATCGACCAGTTTGACCCGGCAGAAGGAACGAGTCACCGCTTGATCAGGTGCAGATTACTATAACCACACGAGATGGGCAGACGATTCCAAGAGTCAATTGTATTCGGGTGCTAGGCTTCCTTCTTGAATCTAACGGCAGAAATTCGCAGGTTTTGGCTCGCATCACCTCTAAAACGGGAAACATGCTCAGACTAATATTGAGGGATTCAAGCCGCAGGGGAGGGCTGAAGGATAGCAATCTTCTTCGGCTCTTCCATTCATTCCTGATGAGCCACATTAATTACGTAGTATCCTCGCTAAATTGGTCTAAACGCGAGGAGGATAAACTCGAGACTTCGTTGCGTAAAAGCATCAAAAGGGTACTAGGCCTACCTATATGAGCACCAGCATGGATCGGCTCATGAGTCTGGGCATGCATAACACTCTCACAGAGGTGACCGAGGCACAAACACTAGCTCAATTCACGCGACTCTCCTCCACGAAAGCTGGGCAGCGTCGCCTACAGTCGCTGGGCAGGGGAGGAATAGAAGATCTTCTTATCACAAACAATGAAGGACACGTACGAGGTGGCACCCTTCCCGCGTAACGTTCATCCACAGTACAATGTTGGCCGGCGAAAGGCACGGGCCAAGTCTCTCCTTGATTTCGTGGCTAAGTCCACGGGCAGTGTAGCTTTCGTCGATGCAGCGCAGTACGGCCGCTCCGATCGTTTTGCAGCTGTGGTCGTTGATCATCGCGGTCACGTACTCAACTCAGCTTCCGTGAGGAAGGCGTCTACCTCCGTAGCAGAGCAGGTAGCGATATCCTTGGCAATGACGGACTCTTCGCGTCCAGAGATATTTACTGATTCCAGGGCTGCCGCCCGTGCCTTTGCCTCGGGGGTAATCTCTAGGAAGTCTGCCGCTATTCTAAATTCCAGGAGTGTAGTAGGCCCCCACACAATCACCTGGTTTTCGGCCCACATGGGCTCAGAGGTGCATCCGACTCTTCCCAACACCAACGAACTTGCCCATAACCGTGCGCGAGAAATCACGTGCATTCGCACGGAGGATTTCAAGCTGGACGGTTGTGCCCTCGCGATCTCCGACTTCAGCGTAGCTCCCGCCGACTGGTTCGCCCTCCGCGGTCTCCTGATGCCGTGCAGCTCTCGCATTGTGGCACCCCGCCCTTGGACTGCTTCGACCGGATCCCCACTTTCCTATCTCCTTCTTTTTTCCTCTCGTTGGCTGGCGGCTTCTTCTCCGTCTATTTTCCTTCTATTCTTTTTATCCCTCCTTCCTTCTCCCTATATCTTTTATTCCCCATATCCCATTCCTCTGCTGACCTGTTGAGGTGTCCTCGTAAGGAGAGACAGTTACGGGTCGGCACCTTCCTTTTCTTTTCTTCTGATATAACCACCTATATTTCTAGGCGCCCCCCCTTCCTTTGCTCGCTCTCTCCTTTCTCTTTCCTCTCTTCGCTCAAGTCTATTATCCCCCATTCCCCTTCCCATGTGAACCACTGCTGAGGTGTCGCACTTAGCTGCAGACAGTTGCGGGGTTCACTTTTCTTTTCTTTTCCAACTTTAAGAACCACTTCCCCCCCCCCCCCCAAATCACGTGCCGCGGCGGTCAGGGCGGGTACAGAAGTGGGTTCGCGAATAACTTTAAAGATCCACTTGGCACCTTTAACGAAGTGACGTCCCATTATCAGTTGTCTAGGCAGAGATACCCGCTTCCGCATTCCAAGCTCACTCGGCCACAGTCGTCGATTCTTCGGACGCTACAGGCAGGTTCATTCCCATCTCGTAGCACATTCAGCCACTTTGCTGATGGCATAACTCCAGGATGTCCTAGTTGTGAGGCACGTAACTGCACACTCGCTCACATGCTCTGGCAGGGCCCGGCGTTACATGGCGCAAAGTTCAGCACAGAAGAAGACTGGGAGAGGGCTCTTAAAAGCCCCGAACTCTCAGTCCAATACTCGGCAGTCCAGGAGGCCTGCGTACGGACGGAGAGCCACGGTCTTCCAGTCCCGGCGTGGACGCGGCCAGCAAATGCGGCGGACACCTCTTAGGGGGGTGTCTGACCAGTTTTCTAGGACCAAATAAAGTTCATTTCACTTCACTCAACGTCACGTCCTCTAGTTCCCGGCGCTGCCGCTAGACATGACAGTTTGTGAAAAACGCATTAAATTCATTATTTTCTCGTAGTTTCTGCTTGGAATGAAGGTTGTCTCTATTGGTTTCAGGATCCAATCTATCTATTTGGATGAAAATATTGGCGGCAAAAATTTTGTTCAGTATCCCTTTAAAGAACCCCAGTTGGTCAAAATTTTCGGAGCCCTCTATTAGCGCTTTTCATAATCATGTGGTGGGTTTGGAACGTTAAAGCCCAATAATATATATTATTCCCTTCCCTAATCTCCCAGTGTAGAGTAGCCAACCATAAGTCCTTCTGGTTAACCTCCCTGTCTTCTCTCTCTGTGTTTGCATCCTTCTTCTTCAATTGCCGCACACTATTTGCGCGCCACAAAAAAGTCAGTCGTAAAAAAAGTAATATCGAGAAATCCCATCGTATTTTAGTTCCGTGGGGTTGTGGGCACTTAACGGTTCACCTCCGCGAGTCAGGATTAACCCGGCCCCTTAAATGTTTCCGTAAATGTTTTTTTTTTTTTAGTTTTCATGTAGGAAATTTGCAGAGCGCTTAAGGAACTACGAAAATACATCTCTTTGCTCAATATATAAACATTTTAAATTATAAGAGCATTGCCCATTTTTAAATTAACTTGAATATCGCATCACAATAATGGCACTGGCATGCAACAGCATGCCAGTGAAGATACTATATTGATGCATGAGACAACTATATATTTGTAATCATAAAGTAGAAAAAGAATAAACTTTATTACTAAGTGAAAATCTGTGGTAATTCGGGGTGGGGCCCTCTTGAAAAGCCCCACTGGCTGCGGCGGCTCGCCGATCTAGGCCACCAGTAGGCAGCTCCCCAGTGCCGGCTCGCAAAGCCGTGACTCCCAGTCCCAAGACCACGCTGTGAGCGTTTGTCGTGCACGCACCAACATATAGATACTTTATGGGATGGCTGCTCTATGTGTACTGCAGTGTACTGTAATATTTAGAACACTGTAGTGCGTACATTTGTAAGTGATGTGTCTAAATGTGGCTGTGTGGTCACGACACTAGGAGGATCCATGTGGAAAAAAATCGCATGCAGTCTTGATATGTCTAAAAATCTGTACCGTTAGAAACCCAATGAGGATTTTTAAAACTTGCCTAAGTACTGTTTGAATGGACCTCAAAATATATTATAATTTTCCACTGTCGAGAACATGCTTCAAGCCTCACATCTTGCGCTTCATACTGCCTAAGTCCTTCAAAAAGCCAGGTTGGTTTAAAGAATCAAGCGTGCGACAAATAATTTGTTCTTGTTTACAAAAAATAATAAATTATAAGTTTCACTCAAGTTTTTATTTTTTAATAATCACAGTAACTGCACCACTCAAAAATCCATTTCAGATAATTACTCACCATTCAGAGGCAAATGTTAGCGCGATCGTGTTTTTTCACTAGCAACACTGTGGGCTGACAAAGCCGTCGTGTCGTCGGTGTCGTCAGAGGAAGAGTTGGAAGCTACTGTTTATGCCAAATCGCCCGGGTAAGAAAGCAACTTTTTCCCTTAAAATTAAGCACCTGCCGGACGATTACTGTGTGTCTCAACTCGAAGTTCGAGTTTGTTTCCTCTCGAAAATGCGTTTAATTTAGTTTCACTCGCATTGAGTTACTGTAACGTCAATTAGTACGTCAGCTGCTCTGCAACTAACTGAAAGAAAACTACGTGCTTTACAGTAAGTCGGTTGTCGTTGACGTCGCACATTTTACCCGTATCTCTTACTAACTTCTGTCTTTTCTGTAATGACACGTCGGTGCTCTCAGCCTTCACTGCGTCCTTACAGTGCTACGACCGGGAGGTGTCATTGCACTGGAATGTTTACACGTTGCGACGCTATCTGCTGGCTGTGCCCGTGACTTCTCTATCGTCGCTGTGTTCTTTGCAGCACGATGAACACCTTTCACTCCTCCGCGAATGAGGAAACGAGCACGTTTGCTCAGTTGGATTTGAGCGGCAAACTGATCATCAAGGCGCAGTTGGGCGACGACATACGCCGCATTCCGATCCACAACGAAGACATTACCTACGACGAGCTGATTCTGATGATGCAGCGAGTGTTCCGAGGCAAGCTTTCCTCTAACGACGAGGTCACGGTGAAGTACAAGGACGAAGGTGAGTCCAAGTGTGTCGCTTCTCGTCGGTGGGTGTGTCTTGTTGGCGCTTGCCGGCGCTTGCTGGCTTTCGAAAGCCTTGTCATCTCGTCGTGCATTGTGTACGGTGCGGTTTACAAGTTCTTTTCACTCATGCGCATTCACTGGCCAAAAGTTCTGACCAGCCAACGAGGAAAATTGTTGAAGTGGTGTATAATAAATTAGGTAACAAAAATCATCTCGGCCTGTTTATGAGAGAAGGAAATACTATTTTTGGCTTGTCAGCCCCCTCCCTTGTTCTTTTAGTGCTGTCGAGTATGTATATGTGATCACGTACAATAAAAACTGAGTTAACGCTGTGTCCCATATCGATCTTTTGCTCGCTGTCTATATGATTCTTTGCACTACCGTCTCAATCATTAATTGGTTTTTGGTTGTGACTTTGCAGATGGTGACCTGATCACGATTTTCGACAGCTCGGATTTGTCTTTTGCGATCCAGTGCAGCCGGATACTGAAGCTAACAATATTCGGTGAGTTTGCCCGATATTTGGTTGCTTGGCGGGCCATTTGAAAGCTTGCTTTTGTTGCAGTGAACCAACAACCAGTTCCATTGGAACCGGATGAAATTAAGCTCCTCAGGAAGGAGCTACAGGAAATTAGGAATGTTGTCAACCGTCTGCTGGACAGATTCGAGCCCCGTCACTTTGTCTCCAACAACTCGGAGCCAGAGGACAGCGCGGGTTAGTCGAAAGGGCATCTATTGATGTTACCGCTGTCTGCATATTAATAAGTTCTGACGTTTTAATAAGCCTTGCCTTTCAGGAAGTGCCCCACAGAAGACCACAAATGCTGTAGCGCCGAAGGAGTTTGACCCGCTCGCTTCCAAGCAGGCAGGGGGCGACGAGCCCAGTGCACAGATAAAACCCAAAGGTATGTAACGAATAAATCCAGGTGAAAGACCTTGTGCCATGTCATTGCACTCCTTTTCGTTCTTTATTTTTCTTGCACCTTTCATTTCCAGTGGGGGAAAGTTACTCCTACAACTATTCTCACAGCAAGTACACTTTGCTGATATTGAATATCCATCATTTATTGCTATCAGTGCATGCTTCCATTGTGCTTTACCATGCTGTTTATTGTGAAGGTTCACAAGCCATTGACACAGCAGTTAGACGGGTGGGATAGGCTGCAGCCGTACCATGCTACTAAGAGCCATGTCTTTTTTTTTCTATAGTCCATGCTCAAAAAATGATTTTGGCATCATATAGGCAGCTAAAAGCTATAATGAAACATAGGGTGTTTCTGGAGTCAGCATTTTTATACATGTGGACTGTTGCTCCAGCGACACACCCTGTTCGAAAAATTTTCGAGCTTCCATATTTTTCAAAACTAGTTGATGTTGCGAGTTATCAGATAGAAAACAGCAAAGAGGAGACTGTTCTGAAAGCATCAGCTTGTTAGTGTTTAAACCCGCCGTCTGGAATGTTCCTTGCCTCAGCGAGGGGGCCTTTACTGCTTGAGGAGGCCTTGTATGAAAGGCACATATTCTGAGGTTTTCTTTATTAAGGCTTCCTCACTGAAACCTTTTAGGTTGCTCCCTCAAGTATAGTGCCTGGGCACGCTTCATGCCTTCTTTGTTACTTCCACTGAAAGGGCTCTTCTCTGTTGTACTTTATCAGCAACACCATGTCCGATTTCTTATTTTCGATCAATACTTTGTACATCTGTACAAGCTAACTGTAACTGTATTCGTGTCATGGTTGAAGGATTGTTTGCTAGGTGTGTTTTAAAATGCCTGTTTGCGGCTGCGTGAATTTTTCGTTAGGATGGTGGTGCACAAATAGAACAACGCATTTTTCCGGAATAGAGAAGAAGCAAGAGACTAGAAAGGCTGAATGGTAATTAGAGAAGGTCCTCTCGTCACCAACCGTTTGTACGGGCATCTTCCAGGAATAACAGCTCTCGCTTGGATTAGCCTAAAAATGACTTCTTATGCATGGACATTCTTCACATGACCATGATGCAGGTGCATAGTTGTCCAGGTAGGAGAAATTGCATTGGTCTTAGCAAACCTACGGTGCTGCTGCGTGCGCTACAATGTATGCGCAGGAAACCCTCCTTTCATATTTTGCAGATTATCTCCGCCACTGCAGTTAGTAATCTATTGTGATACAGGCAAGTGCCTTTGCCTGAAATATGGTGCGTTCAACCTAAGTTGGCTGGACCATTTTAATGTGTTGGTGTAGGAAGCCCGAGCCATGTTGAAGGTCGACAAAAAATTACTGCCGTCACCCAACGGCGATGGGGTCAATCTACTGATAGGACAAAAAATCCTCGCAGGTAGACTTATTAGGGGCAAAACTCCTAAAAGCGTGGGTCTGTCCATCCCTTGTATGTATGTATATATGTTTATGACTGCCTGCCTACAGTTCCACATTTGCCAACCGCCCACTGCTTCTTCCTTGCAAACATCCCACTACGCCCCATCACCGATCCGACCATAAAGCAAATACTGTTGAGAAGTAGTCGTTATGAAATTCAAGATGGTCCTGTACTTGTATCCAGGTGCGCGTTAAATAACCATAGATGGTCCCACTGTGTCCATTCCTTGTTTGTACGTGACCGCCTTTAGTTCCACCTTTGCAAACTGCCCACTACTTCGTCCTTAGAAACATTCCACTATGCCGCATCATCAATCCATTTCTTCAATGACCATAAAGCCATTATAATGAAGGGGGAACGGAAGCGACGTATAACAACCGCTTACGAATAAATTTATACAGTGTTTGTCACATCTTCGATGATGTAGTAAGTGATATTCACGGATGGTTCACGGTTTAGCGATGGAAACTTCCAGCGCTTCGCCCCCCTCATCATCATTCATTTCGTGGATATGCTGCGATTTTTTTTTTGCTTAAAAACAAGCATGTATAACTTGAAGTTGTATTTTACGCACTTGAGGCAGCTTTAGGTTGCACCACAAAGTAAACTCTGCTTTTTTTTTCTCGCTCGTTCAAATTGGTGCCCGGTGGCGCTGGTCGAGGAAACGCAGTGGCGCAATGGGCGAGGAAACGCGAGTATGGCGTTCACGATCGCTCATGAGAACAAGAAAAAAGTGTGTGCGTGCCCTAAATGACCACTGAGGTGACCACTGAGCCTCATGTGGTGTCAGTTTTGGAGTTTCACTGGCAGTACGTCATCACCTTCACGAACCAGTGTTGTGGGCATTCATCCCACCGATGTAAAGAGAGTAAACGCAGTTCGAAAAATTCTGTTATAAAGATTTCCACACACTTTCCAGAGAAACCGCTGCAATGTTAGACGATTCATATGGTGCGCTTTTTCTTGCGACACACACACACAAAAAAACACAACGAAAGATGGTAGACGGTGCTTTTTTAAAGGGGCTCTGCAATACTTTTTGAGCATGGCCAGAAAACGCTGCCGATCGGTAGTAGAGGCTCCCGACAACACGACAGCCTAATATTATAGTTCAGAACGCATCTTAGAATTCACAATAAATTATTAAAGTCAGCTGAAAAATGCTTTCTCTTCTCTCAACAAATGACAGAAGATGCTCAAAAAACGCACGTAGCCAGCCCATTTATCATCGATTGGCTGATTTGAACATGGCGCGCTCAATCGTTGCAAAGATCGCCACGGGCGGTGGCAACTTACACTGCGCGTGAGATCACACTGAAAAAGCCGCACACTCGAAAAAAAGAAAAAAGCGCTCAAGCTCACGAGGCGCGGATGACATAGTTTTTTGTCCCTGCCATCCCTCCATGCTTAGCTTCCAGTGCTTTCGTCAGGACGAGAGAAGAGAGAATGCAATTGCAGCATGGAACAAATCTTTGTAACTCCACTCGCACTAGACGGATTCTTAAAATTTTTGGCGGTGTTGAATTCGTAGGGCATGAAGCTCTTGCAGTGAATTCATTCCATGGTTACTTGAAAAAGTGTTTTCAAGGCGCCTCTAAGAAAAGGAGGCATGAAGGGCTTCTCGTGTAAGATAAGGAAACAGTCTGTGGTTAGGAGCGTTTCAGAGTGCGAGCCCCAGCACTTAGAATCTGTCAGTACTATGGTAGAAATTACAAGGAGTGTATACAGAGTGAAGTCTCACATTTGGAAAGAAAATGGAAACTGCTTAGTACAATGAGTAATCAGTAGGACATTCCTTTCTACTATATGTGTGACTTTGTTAGTGCTAGTAATGACAGTAGTTGCTTGGAACAGCCTGTACAGGATTTGTCAACTGTGCTTTTGTGCCAGGTGAAAACGGCCGGGTAGGCACTCCTGACAGCATCTCGAGCCTAGATTCGGCCGCGGCCACTCAGCAGAAGCTCCAACTGCAGCAACAGCAGCAGCAGCAACTTCACGCGATGCAACAGCAGCAAATGCAGCAGCAGCAGCATCACTACCCTCAGCACACTGGGCAGACTGGAGTCGGATACATGGGTCAACCAGGAGCTCAGCAACCTTACGCACCTCAAGGTTGGTGAATGTTATGTTATGGGAAAACTTCCGGATGAATTATGGGGCTGCTGGGGTGCTTCCTGTGTATGAGGCAGCGCATGTTTATTTCCTCTGCTCATTTACGTTTTCTTAGGAGTGAATACTTATGCATATATTTTTCTGCGTAAGTGTTTTATGCATAAGTGCACTTTGGGCATCAATGTTTTGCCGAGTATGCACATGCAAGGTGACTGTGTAATAATACATTTATTGAGTGAAATGTCACGAAGTGGCACTAAAGATATGTACAAGTGCACACACAGACATACGTTAAACAGCCGCATATGTTTTATGTAACCAGTTGTTTATAGTTGCGTAACGATGCCAACATAAAGATGGATATTAGTGACACCAGAAGTAGTAAGCGGAAATCAAGCGCTCGTGCTCGCGAGGAGAGTAGGCCTGGACACTGCTACATAAATCAACTTCAGCGGATGGCACCTAAGTACAATCGACGCTAACCGGACGTGACGGCTGTATTATAGGAGTACCTATGTAATATTTATAAAATTGTATAGTCAGCACTCCAACCAGAACTGATGATTCACAAACATTGGGGTCTATTTGAAAAGTAGTTCCACGATCTGGTGTGGCTATTTAGTAGAATACTTGATCGTGACATACAATGCTGGGGTTCGATTCCTGCTGGGACTTTGACATTTATTCTTTGCATTCATTAAGTCAATGCTGCCGATGTGAACTTTTTCTTAACGCTCGCACATTAAAAATTCTCATGTGTGTTCTTGCTGTTCCTGGGTAGATATAAAGCGTCAATAACCTGTGGCATACCGTATTTTTGCGCGTATAACCCGCCCCTGCATATAATCCGCAACCCCACTTTCAGCTCACAGAGAAAGAAAAAAAAAAAACCTCGAGTATTGCCCGCACATTTGATATACAGGAAAGGCTGTACAAAAGCTACTGCTCAAGCAACATAGCACATATGTAGACAGAAAAAGCTTTATTTAGCAAGCAGAATACGCTGTCAGTTCAGGGTGAGCTTAGCTCTCTCAAGGCAGGTAAGAACAATGTCTAGACGATGGTTGTGCTCATCGAATGTACCACCAAAAATTATAATGTCACCCAGGTAGCAAAGACAAACTTCTCACCTTAGTCCACGTAATATAGAGTCCATGAAGCGCTCAAACGTGGCTGGAGCATTGCATAGGCCAAAAGGCATTACATTGAATTCAAATAGATCATCTGGGGTAATGAAAGCCATTTTCTCTTTGTCATTCAGGTGCACGGGGATTTGCCAATAACCAGATCTCAAATACATTGAGAAGTACGATGCCGAATGTAAACAATCGATGACATGATCAATCCTGGGAAGCGGGTAGACATCCTTTTTAGTAACGGAGTTGAGCCGTCTGTAGTCCACGCGGAATCGCCATGTATCATCCTTCTTTCGGTTAAGAATCACAGGGCCAGCCCAAGGGCTACACGACTCTTGTATGACCCTTTTCTTTAACATCTCTTCTACCTGTTGAGCAATGACCTTGCGCTCCGCAGATGAGACACGGTATGGTTTCTACCGGATAGGGTGAGCGGATCCTGTGTCAATACCGTGGCGAGTACGCGACTCGGTTGCACTTTTTGCTCTCCATTCTGCGCAAAGTCAAATATAGTAGCGTGCTTCGCAAGGACTTCGACCAAAGCTTGACGTTTTTTTGATGATAGGGACTTGTTTACCATACTCGGAAAGTTGGCTTCTGTATAGTGCGTTGCACGAATGGAATCTACGCTCTCGTCGCTTAAACATGCTATAAAACTGTTCGCATTTTGTTCGAAGGAGGCGGCTAGCATTCCACAGGGTAGCATGACTGGTTCATTTGAATAGTTCGACACCCATAAGGCCGATCACCTATCACTGATCGACAAAACACAATGTGGAACGAGCACATTTTTCTTGGCGCAATTGAGAGGAATGGGCTCCACAAGAACATCAAACCTGCGGCGTCCAAGGCATAGGCCTCCACGCAAACGTTCTTCATCGAGTTGGGCGGCAAGACAACATCCTCAATGACGATGATAGATCCATGACAGCGCCTGGGATCGTCAGTAAATGCCGATAGCATAATCTCGCCAGCACCGCAATCTACAGTAGCACTGACCTCGCTTAGAAAATCGATCCCCAAGATGATGTCATGGGTGGAGCTGGTCAGGACAGCGAATTCAGCCTTGAACACCTTGTCGCCCAAAGTGACACTAACAACACACACACCAATCGGGCACAGCGTCTCCCCGCTCACTGCTCGAAATGATGCACAACTGTCCCAGCAAAACATCACTTTATGTCCTAGCCGCAATTTGAAGTTTAGACTCATCACTGAAACAGCTGCTCCAGTATCTATCAAATCCATCGTAGGAAGTACATCGATAAGCACGGGGACCTTACTTTGCATCATAAAAATGGGTGGAGGCATAGGCGGATGTAGTGAAGAAATGTTCGGCGACCTCACCTCCATTGGCCACACCACCTAGTTTCCCGGAAGCAGGGAGGTGACGCGTCGACCAGAAGACGGGGAACGAAACCGGCGTGTTGCAGGGGGCGTCAAGCTTCGCTCGGAGGAAGGTGAGTCGTTGTGTAAATTCCGGTGGAAATTGCGTCCCACATGTGTATCACTGTTGAGGGTTTGCTGGAAGCCGTCCCCAAAGTACGCGTCCCGCATCGAGCGCATACCACCGCGCCAGCGGTTTTGTCGAGAAGCGGATGATCTCTCGTAGTAGCGCTGCTGGGGCGACGCCTCTGACCACAGAATCGAGCCACATGTCCACGGAAACTGCAGTTATAGCACACAGGCGGCTCACGCATGTCACCAAACCTTCCACGAGGCGCCATGTACCCATGATCGTCCCATGAAGGCACCATTGTAGGTGGTTGGCGGGAGGCGTTCTGGAAACCACGGCGATGATGTAGGTTGTCGGTTGGGGGCTCTAGTGCTCTTGATTGGGGTACATCATATAGTGTGGCATCAATGGCAGCACACATTGCGTCGTTTGGCGGGGCGGCATTGCTAGCATGTGCTAGCAATGCCTCCCCGCCTATGTGGATTGACAACATCACACTGTCCAAGTTCTTCGCGTACGATTTGCCTGGTCATCGAGGCAAGATCACAGGATGATGTCGGAGGGACGTCGACACTTGCAACGGTGGCGACGTTGGCAAGTCTACCAAATTTGGGGAGTGATGCGCCTAGCCTTCAGGGTCTCAAATGTGCGGCAGTGTTGAATTACGTCTGCTACAGATGCCAAGGTGTCCTTGCCGATGAGGAAATTGTAGACGTCCTCAGCAACCCCTTTGAGGAGATGCCAAACCTTGTCATCTTCTTTTATGCTTGGGTCTACAGACTTGCACAATTTAAAAATCTCTTCAATATACATTATTGTGCATGTTTTACCGAGGACTTGAGCACGCTGCATCAAAGTTTGCTCAGTGCGCTTCTTTATCAATGGGTCCCCGAAGCAGCTCGCTATTTCTTTCTCAAACGTTTCCCAGGTCGTTATTGTTTCTTCGTGGTTTTCAAGCCACATCAACGCCGTCCCTTGAAGAAACAATCCGACGTTGGACAGCCAGGAGGCCGCATCACAACAATTGTACTTACTCACACGGTTGAAGTGTTTCAGCCAATCGTCAACATCTTCTCCGACCCTCCCAGAGAAGCTTTGTGGTACCATGTGTCGGGGCCTCGTAGCGCCTGAAGAAGAGTGCGTGGTGTCGCCGTCAGCAACCGGATTCATAGAGAGCGATGGTAGACCAGCCAGTCGGCGGCTTCGGCGTAGTTTTTGAGGTAGTGCTTCCGTGATCGTTCGCCTGGGATTGCTCCGCTGTACCCTGCACCTCGACCAATCTTGTTATGGTGAGATGCCTTTATTTACAAGAGAGGGTGAATGCGAGAGTCCAGGGATCTGGTAGATCACCGCTCGTGCCAACCTTGTTCTCCTCTCCTTCCACGCGTCCCCTCAGTATCGTAGCAATATATATAAGGGAAGCAGGTGTTTATTTAATGGCTTGTTTTTTTTGTGCTTAGACACAATATTGAGATCTAACAGACAATAATGCCAAGGAAAGTATAGGGAAAGTTATTAGGCCAATGTAATGTGGATGTGAAAAAAGAAAGGTTGGTGAAAAGATAACTTGCCGTGGGCAGGATCCGAACCTGAAGGTCGCAGGTTCGGATCCTGCCCACGGCAAGTTACCTTTTCACCCACTTTCCTTTCTTCACATTTACATTACATTGGCCTAATAACTTTCCCTATACTTTCCTTGGCATTATTGTCTGTTAGATCTCATTATATATATATATATATATATATATATAATGTGCGTGTGTGCACTATAAAATAAATAGGTACCAAAATGCATTGTTCTCTCATTTTTTTCATATATTTCGTCGCTCTGCTTCCTAAAACGATAGCGCTGCGACAAGGTGTCTGCCGTTGTTTGGAAGTGTGCAACCGTGCTTTCCTTCTACGACAACAGATTCAGAACTGGGATATTTCACCAAGTAGCATAGATACGCCATGTAAACACTGTTCTAACTAGTACGTGCATTCATGCTTGCAGCACTTACGCTGGCGCAAACAGAAGCAGCTTCGTACCACGCAAAATCTCGAGTGATCGGTTTACTAGAGAGAGATCTAGACATTTATGAAAAAAAAGTGGTTCATCGCGGGTGGGGCTCTTTAAGGCTCCACTGGCTATGCCGCTCGGTGGGCCAGGCCCAGGGTTGCCAGTTGGATTCCCAGGGTCCATTCAGCGAACACACTGGGGTGCTTATGTCCTATGTCAATTGTGACAGGTTGCTATGGACAGCTGTAGGTTGTGTGTGTTAGTGTAGGAGTATCTCTGCATCACGGGCATACGTTGTGGTATCTCTCCGGGTGCATGATGTGAAGCTTATGCAGATTTGGGAATGTATTAGTCTGCTGGCGATGCTAATCCCAAGCTTCATGTTTATCGAGGTCTTTGTGGGGAG